CGGTTTATACCTCCTCCACCGACCCAACTTCCCCCTAAAACTCTCTGAAACCGTATGCAACCTAGGCGTCAGGTTCGACCCCCAATTATTATTCTTCCCTCACATCCAGTCCCTCACCAGTACCGCTTTCTTCCACCTCCGACGCATCGCCCGTCTCCACCAATACCTCTCCCAAAAGACAGCTGAAACTCTGGTCCATGCCTTTGTCACTTCTCGGCTGGACTACTCCAATGCCCTCCTCGCTGGTCTCCCATCCACTACCATCCATAAAATCCAACTCATTCAGAACTCTGCCGCCCGCATTCTCACTCACATGAAACTCCGTTCCCCGATCACCCCAGTCCTTGCCAGACTGCACTGGATGCCTATCCCTGAGAGGATCGATTTCAAGATCCTCACCCTTGTATTCAGGTCCCTGCACTCCTCTGCACCCCCCTACCTCTTTGATCTCTCTCCCTCAGCACAGTACCCGTTGCCTTCGTTCCTCTGGGTCTGGCCTCCTCCTTATCCCCCAAGTCCTCCACTCCACCCTCGGTGGCCGTGCCTTCAGCCACTATGCCCCGAGGCTCTGGAACTGCCTTCCTCACTCCCTTCTTCTTGCTCCCACTCTTCCCATTTTCAGGTCTCTGCTAAAGACCTTTCTTTTCGACCGCATCTTCGGTCACCTTCTCACCCCTCGCCCTTGGCTCGGTCCCAGGATCCAAAACTGTAAAGCACTCTGAGATGCCGTCCGGGGTGGAGGGCGCTATATAAATCCAAGTTGTTGTTGTAGAATCATAGAATCATACAACAACAACAACAACAAGATTCCACTTATAGAGCGCCTTTCACGTCGGGAGGACATCACTAGGCGCTGGACAGTTGGGTCAGGACCCGAGCAGGGGGGAAATGATCAGGGTGAGGGGAGGGAAGGGAGGAGCGAGGAGGGGGTAGAGAGACGAGAGGGTAGCTGAAGGCACGGTCAAAGAGAAAGGTCTTCAGACCAGCCTTGAAGGAGGAAAGGGAAGAGGTGGCGAAGGCACTGGGGGTTGGAGTTCCAAAGCCTAGGGGCTGAGAGGCTGAAGGCCCGGCTACCGATGGTAGGGCGGTTGGGGCGGGGGATTTGGAGCAGACCGGAGCCAGAGGAACGGAGGGCACGGGCACGTAGGTAGGGGGATAGTAGGTCGGAGCGGTAGGAGGGAGCAAGGCCATGAATGGCCTTGTAGGTGAGGATGAGGATCTTGAAATCGATCCTCTGGGGGATGGGGAGCCAGTGGAGGCGAGCAAGGGTAGGAGTGATGTGGTCGCGAAGCCTGGTGCGGGACAGTACACGAGCTGCAGAGTTCTGAATGACCTGCAGCTTGTGGAGGGAGGTGCCGGGAAGGCCGGCGAGGAGAGAGTTCCCATGGTCCAGCCTTGAGGTGATAAGGGCGTGGACCAGAGTTTCAGCCGCGTGAGGGGTGAGGTAGTGCCGTAGTCTGGCGACATTCCGGAGGTGATGGAAGGCGGTGCCAGTTGTGGCGCGGATATGAGGGAAAAAGGACAGCTCAGGGTCGAACAGAACCCCGAGGTTCCTGACCGGCTTTGAGAGGTGGAGAGTGCAGCCTTGGATGCTGATGCTGTCAGCTCCTGAGGTGCGGAGGCGCTGACGTGAGCCAATCAGGAGGGCCTCAGTTTTGCGTACGTTGAGCTGAAGAAAGTTGTCTCTCGTCCAGGACTCGATGTCGGACAGGCAGCTGTCAGGACATCGGTGGTCGTGGAGTTGAGGGTAGAGGAGGAAAGGTAGAGTTGGGTGTCATCCGCATACACGTGGAAGTTGACCCCATGTCTGCGGATGATGTCACCAAAGGGGAGCATATAGAGGGTGAAGAGGAAGGGACCGAGGACAGAGCCTTGAGGGACACCGCATGAGTGCGAGGGTGGAGGAAAAACCATTCGTGGAAACAAAGTGAAGATGGTGGGAGAGGTACGACTAAACCACTCAAGGGCAGGGTCTTGAAGGTTGAGGTGGGAGGGCAAGCGGTGGAGGAGGATAGCATGGTCGACCGTATTGAATGCTGCCGATAGGTCGAGGAGGACGAGGAGCCAGAGGAGAGGGACAGGTTGACGATGTCTGTGATATGTGGGGCAAGGAGGTGGAGCTGGGAGATAAGGAGTGGAGTGGGGATGGGGTCAAGGGAAGAAGTGGTGGGTTTCAGGGATAGGATGAGTTTGGTGACAGAGGGTGGGGAAACAGGTACGAAAGTGTGTAGGGGAGGATGGGTAGGAGTCGGAGTGTGGAAGGGAGGGGTTGGGGGGTGGGTGGATGTTGGAGGGGAAGTGACCGCGGAGCGAATTCCCTTGATCTTGGATTCAAGGAAATCCAGCATCTCCTCGTAGTGAAGTTTGGAGGAGATGACCTGCGCGGGGTGGCGGGGGGGACGGAGGATTCGGGATGTGGTAGAAAACAGTAGCCTGGGGTTGTTCTTCGCCTCCAGGATTATCCTGGAGTAGAAGAATGATTTGGCCGAGGCTAGAGTGGAGCGGTAAATTTTGAGGAGTTCCAGCCAGATTTGTCGGTGGACCGTTAGGCCAGATTTGACGCAGGTCCGTTCAGCGGCCCGCACCTGGCTCTTCAGTGAGCGGAGGTGGGTGGTGAACCAGGGGGAGGAGCGAGAGTAGGAGACAGTACGGGAGGTGATGGGGGCAAGAGTGTCATGTGTGGAGGAGAGGGTGTTGTGGAGGAGAGTGAGAGCAGAAGAGGGGTCATTGAGGGTTGAAGGCCAGAGGGAGAGGAGTTCAGAGGACTCCAAGGCAGCGGTTAGGGATTTTGGGGGTAACTTCTTCCAGGGGCGGTAGAAGATGGTGGTGGGTCTGGTGGAGGTGGGGAAGGGGATGGATATGGTGAAGAAGATGAAGTGATGATCGGAGACGGCCTTGTCGTTGATAGTGACATCCGAGACACTGAGGCCCCGGGTGATCACCAAATCGAGTGGGTGGCCGTGACTGTGAGTGGCAGAGTTGCTGTGGAGGGAGAGGTTGAGCGAGGAGAGCAGGGAGGAGAAGTCCGAGGAGATGGAGCAGGAGGGGGTGAAGTGCAGGTTGAAGTCACCTAGGATGATGAGGCGATCAGAGCAGAGGCAGAGAGATGTAAGTAGTGTAGAAATATCGAAGATGAAGGTGGGAGAGGTTTTACGGGGCCGGTAGAGGAGGAAGATTTTGAGTGAGAGGAAGGAGGGGTGGGAGAGAGTGAGGTGCTCAAAAGAGAGGAAAGAGCCAGTGTTGTAGGGGGATAGGGCAAGTGGTGTCGTTGAGATAAGGGCTACACCACCGCCACGGTGGTTGGGGCGAGGGATGTGGTGGGATGTGTAGCCGGGTGGTGTGGTCTCTGTGAGGGGGATGGTGTCGCCTGGGGTGAGCCAGGTTTCCGTTAAGGCCATGATGTTAACGCTCTCATCAAGGATGAGATCGTTGATGACCAGGGCCTTGTTACAGAGGGAGCGGACGTTTTGTAGTCCGATGTGGAGGGAGCGATTGACAGAAGGGTGTGTGGGGAGAGAGGTGCGTCCAGGTTGTGATGCAGGGGTGGGGGGAATGGGGATGAGGGAGGAGAGGTTGGCTCCCCGGGTGTGTGTCCGGGGTGGGTGGCGAGTGTGGTGGGGAATGGGGCAGTCGGTGTGGCTGCTGCTGGACAGCCAATGCCGAGTGCCACGGTGAGCCCGGCGGAGGATTCCCAGCCTGGAACAGAGGGAGGTTGTGGGAGGGTCAAGTGAGGATAGAAGGCAAGGGGGATGGAGAGAGAGGAGGACAGAGCGGGAGAGATGGAGAGAGGGAAGGGTTTGAGAGGAGAGAGTGGGGGGAGGGAGGGAGGGGGTGACGGGGCTCGGGTCAGAGCAGCAGCCATAATGTGCATGCGGGGACCGGGAGTGAGCGGTCAGGTGGATGGCATTAGCCCATAGGCTGGGCTGGGGCAGCCAACCCAACAGGACCATGGTGGTCTCTGATGCGAGCTCCGGGGGGGCGCAGAGGGGTTTTTTTTCAGTCAGAATAGCAGCCGTTCACCACAACTCTCTGCTTTCTGTCTCCCAGCCAGTTCTGGATCAATGCTGCCACTGTCCCTTTTATACCATGGGCTTCTATCTTTCTTACAAGTCTTTCATGTGGCACTTTGTCAAACGCCTTTTGAAAGTCCATGTAAACTACATCAACTGCACTACCTTTATCCACCCTCTCCGTTACCTCATCGAAAAATTCTATTAGATTTGTTAGACAAAATCTGCCTTTAAGAAATCTGTGCTGGCTGTCCCTAATTAACCCATATTCTTCTAAGTGAAGATTTATTCTGTCCCGGATTATAGTCTCCAGGAGTTTACCCACTACTTATGTTAGGCTGTCTGGTCTGTATCTCCCAGGTTTGTCCTTCTGTCGCTTTTTGTACAGGGGAGTCACATTGGCCACTCTCCAGTCCTCTGGCACCACTCCTGGTGTCCAACAAAGATTGAAAAATTGTAGCCAAAGCCTCCGCTATTTGTACCCTTGCCTCCCATAGTAACCTTGGTTGCATCCCGTCCGGACCGGGCGACTTATCTACCTTCAGCGCAGTCAACCTTTTCAGCATTTCCTCTCTGTTTATACTTATCCTATCCATTTCCTCTACCCTCTCCTCCGATACTGCGGCATTTGGTGCATCCACTTGTTTTGTGAAGACAGATGCAAAGTACTCATTCAGTACATCAGCCATGCCCTCTGCCTCCACAATAAGATTTCCCCCTTGGTCCTTAATTGGCCCCACCCTATCTTTGACTAGCCTTTTTTTCTTGATATATTTGTAAAATATTTTAGAATTCCCTTTAATGTTACCCGCTACCCTTTTTTCGTACAATCTTTCCTTTTCCAAATCTCTTCTGCACTTCCAAAATTCTATTTGGTTGTCTTCTGTATCTTGGGTTTGAGATTTGTTACTGATTTTTAACAGAACTAATTATCAACTAGATGTTAAAAGTGCCAGAGCATTTATAAAAAATTGTTTGCTTTTCTTGCAGTGGGACCTGGTCTGTAATGATGACTGGAAAATACCAGTGCCCATATCCTTGCGTTTCTTTGGGAATCTATGTGGATCACTATTGGCAGGACATTTATCAGACAGGTATAGCTATAGTTATTGTATTGAGAACATGTTACGATACAATACAATTCACATTTAGGTAGTGCCTTTCACACTCGGAGGACATCACAAAGGGCTTGACAATGCTGGATGGGCTTCTAAGGTAAAGGGTAGGAACTAAGGGGAAGTGGGGTGGGGAAAATGACTAAAAGCGCAATCAAGGAGGTACATTTTGAGATGTGCCTTGAATGAGCAGAGGTCGGGAAGGAGCGAGTTTGAGGGACTCCAGGATAGATTCCCAGAGGGAGAGGGCAGAATGGCTGAAATCCCACAGTTGGCATAGTAAAACCTGGGCATGATAAAGGCTGGGTAAATGCAAGAAGCAAAATTTGGGAATGTGGATGAAGCCAATTGTTATATTTGGTCACATGGGATGTGTTTTACACAGTGCAACTCCTGGCTTGTTAAATTGAAAGGAAGCGTTAATTCCTTAGATTCTGATGAGTGTGGGTTATTCTCACATGATCATTTAATCAGAAGCTTTTTTTAAGTTCAAGCCATCTGCAGTAGTGAGCCCTTCTATAGTGCATTATTGGGCCACCAAATTACTGGAATGAAACCATGAAGCATTTATGTTAAGTCAACAGAAGCAAAAGCAGCTTTCCCAATGGTCTAATTGGTAAATATACCATGTAGTCCAGCACTAACCTTTGCAGACTAGAAGGTTGCAGCTTCAAATTCTGGGTGGTACTAACTAAGCTGATCTCATCTGAAGTAACAATTGACCCAAAAAACCTTCGGCTAATGGGAAAAAGTCAAGTAACGATTTACTATTTTGATCATTGTCCAGTGATCCTGACTGGAAAGTGCACATTTCCAGATATTGTTTGAGGACAGTTTCAGCCTCAGCTATAAGACTAATGAATGGAAAAGTAGATTACTTCCATTCAATTCCATTCAAAAAAACCTTGCATTTAAAATGTCCTTATGACCTTATCGCATCAAAACATCACAAAGCACTTTGGTTTTCTGTAAAATGTAGTGATTGTGTATTTGTAGGTAAATGGAGCAGTCAATTTGTACACAGAAATGTCCCATAAACAGCCATGACCAATTTTATCTGTGGGATTGTTGGCCAGGACCAAAGGAGAAACACCCTGCTCTTTTCAAATAGTATCATGAAGTCTTGAAAGTCTCCCATTACTGCATTATGACAGCCTGGCCCAGATGGTATACTGTTTTAGTGTCCTACTATTGAAAGGACATCACAATAACAACAGCAGCAGCAGCAACAAATTAGATTGTAAAGCTCCTTTCAAGTTAGGAGGATGTCCCAATGCACTGGACAGTCAGGGATTTGGACCCGAGCAGGAGTTTGGGATTAGGGGTTTGGGATCAGGGGTGGTGGAAGGGAGGGGAGGGGTAAGAGGGTGGCCAAAGACGCAGTCGAAGAAGAGGGTCTTCAGACATGCTTTGAGGGAGGCAAGGGAAGGAGCAAGACAAAGGGACTGAGGGATGGAGTTCCAAACGGTGGGGCAGAGAAACTGAAAGCCCAAAGGCTGAAAGGGAGATGGGTTGGGTGGGGATATGGAACAGGCCAGAGCCTGTTGAATGTAGAGAGTGAACAGTTTAACATGGGGTTAGCAGATCACAGTGGCAGGAAGGAGCAAGGACATGGAGGGCATTGAAAGTGAGGACAAGGATTTTGAACACTATCCTCTGGGGAATGGGGAACCAGTGGAGCCAGGTGAGGGTGTGAGTGATAGGGTCATGGAGCCTGGTGCGAGGGAGGACCCAAGCGACAGAGTTCTGGATGATCTGCAGCTTGTGGAGGGAAGAGCTGGGAAGTCCGACAAGCAGGGAGTTGGCATAATCAAGCCTAGATGTGATGAATGCATGGATGAGGGTTTCGGTGGCCTGAGGGGAGATGCAGTGGCGGAGCTGGGTGATGTTGCGGAGGTGAGGGAAGCAGAATGGGTCATGGCATGGATGTGGGATAGAAAGCACAGTAGATGGTTAAACAAGACACTGAGGTTCCGGATTGGCTCAGTAAGATGGATTGTGTATCCATGGATGGTGTTGCTGCCAGTGCCTGATGTGTGGAGGCACTGATGGGAGCCAATGAAAAGGGCCTTGGTCTTGTTGACATTCAACTGGAGAAAGTTAGTTCTCATCCAGGACTTGATATCTGGCAGACATTCCATCAAGCCAGCAGTGGTCCTGGAATTGAAGGTGGAGCCCTAGAGATCAAGTTGGGTGTCAACCAACATGTGGAAGTTGACCCATGTCTGCGGATGATTTCATCAAGAGAGTGCATGTAGATATTGAAGAGGAGAAGACCAAGGACAGAGTCCTGAAGAATGCCACACAAGATGGTGCAGGGGCTAGAGGAGAAACCATATGTGGAGATGAAATGGAGACGGTGTGAGAGGTAGTATCTAAACCAGTCAAGGGCAGAGCTGTGAAAGTTGAAGTGAAAGGAAAGGCAGTGGTCAAGGAAGATGAGTAGACAGAGGGAGCCTTGGTCACAGATTTAATTTGTCACTTTGACCGAGGCTGTTTGTGTGCTGTGGGCGGCACAGAAATCTGATTGGAGGTGTTCATTTAGGGAGTGGCGGGAGAGGAAGGAGTGAAGCTGGGAAGCGACTTGTTCCAGGACCTTGGAAAGAAAAGGGAGGGTGAAGATGGGGTAGTAATTGGCGAGCAGGGATGGGTCCAGGGAAGGATTTTTGAGCATAGGAGTGATGACAGTTGTTTTTAAGGTGGTGGGAATGGTGCCAGTGGACCGAGAGAGGTTGATAATGTCCATGAGTAGAGGGGCAAGTAGGTGGAGCTGGGAGGTAAGGAGAGGGGTAGGGATGGGGTCAAGGGAACAGGTGGTCAGTTTCATGTGGGTTATAATGGTGTTGAGAGGAGTGGGAGACAGGTTTGAAGGTGTGGAAGAAAGAATGGGTAGGGGCTGGAGTGTGAGGGGGAGATGGGAGGGGATAGCAGTTGGAAAGGCAGAGTCGGCTGAGCGGATCCCCTCGATTTTGTTCTTGAGAAAGTTCAGCATCTCCTCACGGTTGGAGTTGGAGGAGAGGATGGGCGAGGCGTGAGAGGGTGGGCGGAGGAGCCGGTTCGTGGTAGAGAAGAGGAGCCTGGGGTTATCCTTGGCCTCCAAAATTATCTTGGAGTAGAAGGACAATTTAGCATAGACGAGTGTGAAGCTGTATGTCACAGGCTTGGCAGAGGCACAATAGATTCACTTGGGAATAAAAGTTATAGTTTGCTTGGAAATAATTGAAAATTGAAACTTTTTTTGGTGAAACAGATAAGTTTAATAGAGGAATCTAATAGAATATGTCTATTATTATGAATGGTTTTAAATAGGGAGAAAATATTTTCACCTATTAATGAACCAGTAGCAAGAGGGCATACATTCTAAATTAACATCAGAAGGAAATGGGGAGGTTAGATTTCTTTATACATATAAGGTTGCTAGAACATTAAATTACTGTAGTTATTGGGTAATTCTGAAGTTAAATATCAATGTGCTGTACAGATGTACCACTGATGAACAATGAGGAGCACAATTGAAATTAAAGCTATCTGAAGTTTAAATTATCTCAAATATTATCTGATGGTGACTGAAAGGCTTACTGCTTTGCTTTGATGTTTTATAGGTATGGAAGAAAAATCGTTCTCTTTGGAGGCATTGCAATACAGACAATCTTAAGTTTAAGCCAAGCAGCCGTACAGAGCTGGGAGATGTTTTGTGTATTGTGTTTTTTAATTGGGGTTGGAGATGTCTCAAATTATACAACCTCTTTTGTTTTAGGTAAGTTTTTAAGTTTGGACTTCATGTTTGTAAATGTAGCTGTAGAGCTGAAACAAAACCTGAGACAAAAGCTGAGGTAAACTGAGACATGTCTGTTATTCATTAGAATATCCACCACTGTGTGTATGTGCTGTGTGAAATTGGCTGCTGCATTTCGCCCACAATATACACAGTCACTGCACTTTACAGATTATTCTGTGAAGCGCTTTGTTATACTTTACAGTATATTCTTGATGACGTGAAATGGCACTATATCAAATGCAAGGTTTATTATTATTACAGAGGTGCAGTATTTGCAGACACATTGTGCTCTACTAACCGTATTTGTTGTTTCGGTTGCTTTTGTGTATAATATGCTTTGTTCCCATCGCTCCAGACTCTCTGACCCCTCTCCACTTCTCTACTCAGCTCTCCCACACCAGTAGGCTGACCTTGTCCTGCTGGCTCTATGAACAGATACTCCTAGTCTTGGCATGTCCGTTTTGGCTGCAACCCCTGACCTGAGCTGCCATCCCCATAAATACCCTGTCTTCTGTTCCCTATCCTCCATTACTCCGGTTAGCTTCTCCTCTCTTACCATCCTCCCCACCTCATCTTCCTTCTTGACCATCCCACAATCTCCCTCTGTTCTAGCCTTGGAATCCTCCGCCAGGCTCATCATGGCACACGCCATCAGCTGTCTAACAGCAGCCACCCTGACTGCCCATCCCACATGTTCACCGCAATCCTCTTGGAGTGAACCTCTCCTCTCTAATTCACCTTCCCACCCTTCCTGTCAATTCTTCTCCTCCATCTCCCCACTCATCTTATAAACTCTTCTTCTGTCTGTCCCTTGCGCATCGCCCTACAAAATGCCTGCTCCATCTCCAATAAAGCCCTTCATAACCTGATTGTCAACAAAAACATTGACATCCTCGCCTTCACTGAAAGCTGGATGACTCGGGTGATACCTTACACCTCACTGAGCCTACCCCACCCAGTTACATCTTCTATCATACCACCTGACTCAACCATCATGGCGATGCCATGGTTCTCATCTCCAGGACTTCTCTGAGCCTTCCCCCTGACTACTATGGATCCTTGCCCATCTTTGAGCACCTTACTCTTTACCATCCCACCAATCTTTCCTTTAAAATCCTCCTAGTTTATTGTTCACCCCCAAACCTTCCTCCACTTTCCTTTCTGATTGCTCCAACCTCCTAATTTCTCTCTGTCTCTGTTCTGAATGCCTCCTCAACTTGGGCAACTTCAACCTCCACTTCACCCCTACTTGCTCCACCTCTGCTTCATTCTCTTCCCTCCTCTCCTTTCACAACCTCTTACTCCACATCAACTCCACCACTCATACCCATGGTCATTCCCTTGACCTTATCCCTCCCCCTCTACTTACTTGCTAGCTCCATTTCCTTGCCCCCTACAGATAGACATTGTGAACCTCAATCTGTGGGTGGCTTATCAGAAATATAAAAATCCTTGAACTTGACATAGCAACTTTTACTTGCAGAGGACGTCTCAAAGCGCTTCATAGATTTTACTGTAAAGTATACTATTTGTGAGCGAACTGGCTGAAGATCCCAACATTCACAAGGGTTGATCCACCTCGCTTGTAAATTAACTTATTTTCCTCTCATTTCCAGGAGTGGAGTTGTTTACCAAATCTGTGAGAACCGCTTACACCTCAATTGGAATCTGCTTTTTTTTTGCCTTGGGGTATGCCATTCTGCCTCTGATCGCATATTTCGTCCGAGATTGGCGAATGTTAATATTGGCTTTGTTCCTGCCAGAACTTCTGTGTTTTCCTTTGTGGTGGTGAGTTATCATTTTCATTTATTGTTTCTTTACTTATTAATATTCAGTTAATGATGGAGGAAAATGCTTTATCTTTCATTCCCAACAGAAAAAGTATGTGTACAGGATATGCGTGTGTACAGGAAATGCGTGTGTACAGTGTGTGTGTACATGGTTTGTGTGTACAGGGTGTGTTTGTGTATATGGCATGTGTGTACATGGTTGAGAATTAAGTTGATTCAAAATAAATGTGAGAGCATGGATAAAATTCTTCATAACATTAAAATTGACTATAAAACGTATTCTATACTCCAATAGGCTGGAATGTAATATTGCATTGATGCCCCAAATTCTTCAATAGTGAATGGCCTGAATGTAAAGGTGTTTCATTTCAATAAGACATGTTTGGCATTATCTTAGCAGACTAATTAAGCATTCAAATAGGTCCATGGACGTTAACCCAAGTTTTGAGTGTTGAGTTTCCATTCAAAGTTGAAGCTCTCGGTTAAAGAGTGTGTGTTCAAAAAAAACCCTACAGATGCTTATGTCGTCAGTATTGGAGCAGCATGAGAAACAACAAAAGCCTGTATTTATATACAGTAAACTGGTGATAACTTGTCACTCCAACGGAAAAAGGCTGAGACTTGTTATCCGGAGCAGGTAGTTAAGCATAGGTTTTCCTGGGCCATAAAGTGGGGCTGTGACTGGTGCAGGAGCTCAGTAGAAGTTGGGGACGCATGCTCAGATGTATTGCAAAGGGCTCCTATCCTATCGCCGAGGCCTTTGATCCATTAAACAGCTGTACTGTGGTTTGTGACATGATAGGGTGGGAGGCAGGGTAGGAGGCCATAGCACAGTTTTCAAGAGACCAAAAACCTCTGAAATACATCTGAGCATTCACGCCCAACCTCTGTTGGGCACCTTTCCAATCACAGGATAGGGCCGGAGGTCTCTACAATGCAAGATGCTTGCATATTTTATAAGACGAGCTACCCAATTAATTTAACATTGTAAGTACTTGCAAGAATTTCCAGAATGCGACTATTTACGTATTAAGCAAAGACAAGTAAAACAGAGTCCCTTATTAACATTTTACATGGGAAGCGGCCAGGATAATAAAAGTATGGCTATGTCATGGTTCAGTCATCTGTAGTTTACTGTAGTGCCCTTTATGTGGGGTAGCTCCTTGAAGAACTTAAACAACCTATTCCCCAGGAGGAGTCACTTTAGAAGGTGGTCTGGGTGAGGTGGAAGGGACCACCTCTTAGATATATGAATCTATCTTCAGTAACGATATCATAACATCAAAGGTGTTATTTGATCTAACACCTTATCACGTTGTTGAGATGCCCCAAAGCACTTCACAGAATGGTTTTGACTGTGGATTTATTAATATTGGGAAATAATGTTTTCTAACTAGGGAGATCCAGGCCAGAAAAAATATGATATTAAAAATACCTTAGAACAATCTCTAAAGACTACAGTTTCAAATTACAAGGTATTGTAACAGGTTAACAGTGGTGGTTAGAAAGTTGGGAGCCAGTCCTCTAGTCACTTGTCACCTAGTGGCCACTACGTGTAGTTCACAATGCCTGAATCAAATGATCTTTAGTTCGACACGATAAACAAGAAAGTACAGAGATGGGTACATGGATTCCTGCAAGCTTTGTGGTTAAAGCAGTCGCCCCGCAAGCAAGAGGACCTAGGTTAGATTCCAGGCAGGGTGAAATGCTGTGCAAATTTCCTTACTTCACAACCTCAGTTCACCGACCAGTAAATAGAAACCCGGTTGTTAGTCGATTGGCGGATCGCTTTTCCGGGGATAATAATTCCTTCAAAAAAAAAATTCTAATAATTTGGTCACTCAATCTATAACTGTTTGTGGGATACTGCTGAGCGCAATTGGCTGCTGCGTTTCGCCCACAAAATATACAGTCAACTCACGTTACAGTATATTCTGTAACGTGAGTTGACTGTATATTTTGTGGGCGAAACGCAGCAGCCAATTGCGCTCAGCTAAGATGAGACATCTTTGAGATGTCTCAAAAGCGTGATGAGGCGCTATATCAAACGCTAGGAGTATTATTATTATCGTTATTAATTTATACATTATTGCTGACTCGGTAGGACATATAAGTTGCAGCACACAAAAACATGAATGCATTAAGTACAATGTATTTGCACATAAATGGAGTTTATCCCAGAGTCTTGGCCAACAATAAAATTAGTCATTCACTCCAGAATTGTTTATGGGGCATTGCTATGTGCAAATTGCCTACCGTGTTCGCTCACAAAATACACAATCACACCACTTCATAGTACATTCTGTGCAGTGCTTCGAGACGTCTCAATGACGTAATAAGACACTATAGTATATCAAATGCAAGGATTATTATAATATGATAATATAATCCTCCCCCAACTCCAACAGCGAGGAGATGCTGGACATCCTCGAGACCAAAATTGAAGGGATGCACTCAGCTGCCTCTGCCCTTTCAACTGCTATTCCCTCCCCATATCCCCCTCACACTCCAACTCCTACCCACCCTCCCTCCACACTTTCGAACCTGTCTCCCTCTCCTCTCTCACCACCAATATGGTTTCACCACATGAAACCCACCACCTGCTCCGTCGACCTCATCCCTACCCCTCTCCTTACCTCACAGCTTCACCTCCTTGCCCATCTACTTACAGACCTCATCAACCTCTCCCCTATCCACTGGCACTGTTCCCACCCTCTTAAAAACAGCCATCATAATAATAATAGTACTTTTTTAAAAAAAGTCATGAACCCTATCCTTAAAAAACCTTCCCTGGACCTATCCCTGCTCTCAAATTACTGCCTTATCTCCAACCTCCCTTTCCTTTCCAAGGCCCTTGAACGAATTGTTGCTTCCCACGTTAGCAACTTCCTCTCCCACCATTCCCTATATGAGCCCCTCCAATCGGGTTTCTGTACTACCCACAGCAGTCTGTCTGTCTGTCTGTCTGTCTGTCTGTCTGTCTGTCTGTGACCACGACTCCCTCTGTCTCCTTGTCCTCCTCGACCTCTCTGCTGCCTTTGATACAGTTGACCACACTATCCTCCACTGCCTCTCCTCTCACCTCAACCTTCATGGTTCTGTCCTTGAATGGTTCAGATTCTACCTCTCACACCGTCTCCACTTTGTCTATACAAACAGTTTCTCCTCTAGCCCCTACACCATCTCCAGCCCCCGTCTCGTACAGTGTTCCTCAGGGCTCTGTTCTTGGTCCTCGCCTCTTCAACCTGTGCATGCTGCATCTTAGTGACATCATCCGCAGACATGGGGTCAACTTCCACATGTATGCAAATGACACTCATCTCTATCTCGCTGCCTCCACCTTCGCAGCTCTCCCACACAGGCTCCATAACTCCATTATGCCTACCCTCGCCTGGCTCCATTGGCTCCCCATCCCCCAGAGGACAGAGTCTTTGTCCTCGCCTTCAAATCTCTTCAATGCCTTGCTCCTTCCTACCTCTGCAACCAATATCAATCTGTCCGCTTCCTCCACTCAGTGGGCTCTGGCCTGTTCCATACCCCCTGCCTGGCCAACCCCACCTTCAAAGGTCAGGCCTTCAGCCTCTCCGCCCCTACCCTATGGATCTCCATCCCACATTCCCTTCACCTTGCTCATTCCCTTGCCTGTTCAAGGCAAGTCTCAAGACCCTCCTCTTTGATCGTGTCTTCGGCCATCCGCCTACCTTCCCTGCCCTCCACTCTCCTTGATCCCAAATTCCCCCGGGTTGGGTCCTAATCCCTGACTGTCCAGCGCCTTGGTACGTCTTCTCAACGTGAAAGGCGCTATTCAAATGTAATACTGTATTGTATAAACATTCACCCAAAATTGTCATTGTCTTTCGATCAATAATGAGGTGAAAAATTTCAAAAATTTGACATTCATTGTCATATTGATTACTGATGTTAATTATCACATCTCAGCCATTTCACTCTTGGGTATGTCACAGTCGATAACTTCTTAAGTTTAGTTGAACCAGTATTCTGTGAAGCAGCTCTGAGATCTAGCAATCAGTGGGGAGGTAATTTCAGCAACACCACTGACTACGTGTGCTGAAAACACTTTGGGTGCAACCAAGGTCACTATTTATTGATCGGGATATCACCAGGAACAAAATACCTGATAATTCTGGCATTGAATGTCATATTTTTCACCCTAATATTTTGAAATTTAGTAAGATTATGCAGAATTATGGAAATTTCTGAAATTTTTACGCCGTTCTTTTAAACAACTGAAGGAAATTGGCTTCAAAATAAACAACAACAAAAAATTGCATTAAATAACACCTTTCACATCGGGAGGAGGTCCCAAGGTGTAAAAACTGAATGTAATTATTATAATTATTATTGTTATTATTATAAAAACTGCATGTAAGAATTTCCCAAGATTCTGCACTGTTGTACTCATTACGACAATGGTCTTAAGGCTAAATTATGAGATTTTCATGAGAGGCCTCAGGATACCAATTTGTTTATTTTCTGGAATGATAAAGAAGATCAGAACCCATTTCAGCCAGTTGCCAATCTCAGTATTTCACTGATAAATTTTCTGCCGTGTTTATTAAGAAATCTTTCTTAAGCTGCATCCACATTTTTGCAGGTTTATACCTGAGTCTCCCAGGTGGCTGCTGTCTCAAGGTCGAGTGGAAGAAGCAGAAGCCATTGTGAAAGCTGCTGCTAAGAAAAATGGCATTAAACACGTTGGGGAGATATTTCAGCGTAGCGGTAACACTGAATATCTGGTGATTATTCTTTATTGTTTCTGTCTTATGTTGTAAGATAGATCTTTCCTCGAATCTCTTCTCCCACAGCGAGATTTTCACGCGCAGCTATCCTGATGCAGCCATTAAGCTGCTAACCTATCACCTCTGTGCAACTCCCTTGACACCTCAAAATCCACGTCTGTCTTCAAATCTGCCTACCCAATTCCCCTGGTATAACAGTCACCTCCGCTCCCTCAGAACTAAAACCCGGTCACTTGAGCACAGATGGCACGAATCCGGCCTCACAATCCACTGTTTGAGGTTCTCCACAACTACTACCTCTCCCCCTCGCAGGTCAAAACTGCCTTTTACTCCAAAACTATTTTGGAGGCCAAAAACAGCCCAACTGCACTGTTTTCCACCATCTCTCACCTCCTCTTGACACACCCGCAAGTTGCCTCCATCCTCAACTCTAAAGCCAAATGCAAAGAGGTCCTAGACTTCTTCATGTCAGAGATCAAAAACATCCACTTGGCTGCATCCTCCTACCCTACGTCCCTTTCCGCACCACCCAGACTGTCTACAGCATCCTATCCTTCCACCGCAACCCTACCACTCCCCACTCCCTACACTCCTTTGCCCTGATTACTCCCACCTCCCTCTCAATTACCATATCCCAGATAAAGCCCAACATCTGTTGCCTCAACCCCCTCTGCACCCAGTTGCTGGTCACCCAACACCCCCTCCTCTCCCTGCTGCTGTCTGATACAGGCAACCAGTCACTCTCCTCAGGTTCTGTACCTTTCCCCCTTCAACTCACTGTGATCACTCCCCTACTCAAAAAACCCACCCTTGACCCCTCCAAGCTCATAAATTACTGACCCATTTCCAACCTGCCCTTCTTTCCCAAACTATGAATCGCGTTGTTCCAAACCAAGTTTGCTTCCACCTCTCCCTCCACTCCAGTCTGGTTTCCGCTCTGCCCACAGTGCTTGTTAAGGTCACAAATGACATCCTCTTTCTCTTTGACCAGGGCTCCCTCTGACTCTTCAACTTCCTGGAACGCATTGGCGCAGACATCACAGTCGACCACGCCATTCTGATCCATTGACTCTCCTCCCTTATCCATGTCAGTGGGACAGCACTAGCCTGGTTCAAGTCCTACCTCAGAAACCGCCTTCATTTTATCTCCTCAGATGGTTTCTCCTCCAGCCCCTGCCCTGTCACCTGTGGTCTAGCCCAGGGCTCCATTCTTAGCCCATCCTCTTCCTCATCTATATACTCCTTCTTGGCAATGTCATCCACAGACATGGGATAAACTTCCATATATATGTGGATGACACACAAATCTATTTCCCCTCCAGCTGCGACTCCAGATTCGCAGATGTTCTGTTTGGTGGACATCGGGCACTGGATGAGCAAAAACTTCCTATGACTAAATGTTGACAAGACGGAAGCCATACTCTTTGGCTCCCACCAACGGCTTCTATCCTGTGGCTCTGACCTCATCAATCTCCCGGGGCTATCCCTCAGACTTACTGAACCAGTGTACAAACCTTGGCGTCAGGTTGAACCCAAAGCTGTCCTTCCTCCCCCACATCCAATCCCTAACCAAGACCACCTTCCTCCACCTCCATCACATTGCCCGCCTACGAATGTGCCTTACCGCAGAAACAGCCAAAGCACTCGTCAATGCGTTCATCACCTCCTGACTCGACTTCCCAAATGCCCTCTTTGCTGGTCTCCCCTGCACAGGATCCAACTGATCCAAAACTCCGTTGCCTGCATACTGACCCATACTCACCGATACCCGCATCACACCAGTGCCAGCCAAGCTCCATTGCCTCCTTTCATGCCCTGACACTTCCCTACCTCTCCAACCAGCTTACCGCCCAATCCACAACCCACTGCCTCTGCTGAACTGGCTCCAGCCTTCTGCATGTCCCTCGTGCCCTCCGTTCCAGTATCGGTGGTAACGCTCTCAGCCCACTACTCCCTGAAACTCTGAAACACTCTTCCTCTATACTTCTGCCTTGCCCCTTCCTTCCCCATACACCCTACAGTACCTCGTGAAATGCTTTCAAACATTTTGGTAATGTGAAAGGATGCAATATAAAATGTAACAATTGTTTTTATAACATGCAAAAAATGTCAAATGGTTGATCTTGTTGGTGCCACCATTCAAAGCCTTCTACTATTTCAGAAATTGTTTGCTGTATACATACATTGTTAATTTATATTTCTAAATTTTTTTATAGGTTGAGCAATCCCTGAATAAAGTAAAAAATACCAACGGTGTCTTGGATTTAGTTAGAAATTCCAAATTGAGGAACATCACAATCTTAAATTGTTGTATATGGTGAGTGAAGACTTTTGTCGGCTATTAACTCCCCAAATAATTAACATCTCAAATGATATGAATTGTTGGATATTTATGGTATTTAGTGTCAATTCAATTCCATAAAGTAATATGTGACCCTATGTATAGTCTTTGGGGTGTAAAGGTGCTTTAAACAGTTTTATAGAGCTTTAACTTTAACTGCTCAGCTGCTAATGCTGAAAACTGATTCACTTTCACAAGATCACAAGATTAATTTGGATAAAGAAGGCTCTCAACCCATCTGATCTCATCCTTACAGCAACACCCACACCACCAGCTTCCCATTACATCAGCAAATGTTTTTTCAATGAATCAGCATCCTGATCTGAACCACCTTTCCTGGCAACCTGTTCAAGGTGTAAATAAAAAAAATCCTAGTATCTATCTTTAAATTGTCCATTACAACGCTAAACCATTGTTCTCTTGTTCTACTGTCTTTATGAATCCTAAGTATTGTTCTGGGTTTATTTTTTGCAATCCCATTTACAATTGTATACACCTCTATAAGGTTCCCTCTGAGACTGAAGTGCCTTACCTTGGTCTCTATTCCCTTGACTTTAGAGGGGTGAGAGGTGATCTGCTTGAGGTTTTTAAAATAATAAAAGGATTTGATAGGGTAGCTACAGAGAAACTATTTCCTCTGGTGGAGGAATCCAGAACAAGGGGGCATAATCTTAAAATTAGAGCTAGGCCATTTAGGAGTCAAATTAGGAAGCAGTTTTTCATCCAAAGCGTAGTGGAAATCTGGAACTCTTCCACCAAAAGATTGTGGATGCTGGATCCATTCACATTTTCAAGATGAAGGTAAATAGATATTTGTTCAGTCAGGATATTAAGGGATATGGGGCAAGGGCGGGTAACTGGACTTGAGTTACAGATCATGATCTTATAAAATGGCGGAACAAGCTCGAGGGGCGGAATAGCCTACTCATTTTTCTATGTTTCTATGTGGTTAACAATAAATTACTTAACACCCAAAAGACATCTCCTCCAAGGAATAGAAACGCCTCTTATGTTTACCTCATATATGCAGACCTTTACATTTAACTATACCAAACTTCATTTGTTAGTGATCAGACCAGATGCTTTAAATTTCTCATGGATTGAACAGAAGGATACAAATACAAGGATTATTATTTAGCATTAACAGTATAATCTTAAAAATTAAAACCATTGCACATTTGGGGGGAAAAATTTAATTTATATTTAATTTGGAAGATATGATGAATTTAAAATACGTTATGACAATGGTCTTGAAGCTAAGATCTTGAGTCATTTCAGAACTCAGGTATATCCTTCCATACCTGGGCATAACAGGACACACAAAAGGAATAATGAGTATAAGAGATGAGAATAGAAGAGTTTAGGGGATTGTATGGAATATAAAATCTTGCACACAGACTATGTGGGCTGAGCGACCTGTTTCTGTGCCGTACCATTCTATGTAGTTCTATATGAAATGTAGACAGAAAACACAAACTGACAGCTATTGCCAGATAGAGCTATAGGCGGCAGGTGTAAATATTCTTTGGAGGTTGATTGGTCGGTCTCTTTCGAAGATGGCTGCCCCACCATCCTCACCGTGCAGACTCCCAGGTCCATTGGCCAATCAAAGATGAGGACGTCTCATTGAACAGTCAATTGCTGACAAGTTAAGAGAGGGGCAAGTGGGAGCCTGGGGGTGCCGTGGGTAGGGGCTGTGGTCCTCCTCAGGGCTTATCCCCCCTAGCCACCCACTGCCTATGAAAAGAGATTGTGGTGACCCAGGTCAAACTGAACTAAATAAGGGATATGGTTAGAATACAGCAGGATCACTCCAAAACCACTGAAAATGCCATTCTCTTTTCCACTCAGCTTCTCTGCTGCATCAAAGCATTAACAAAAGTACTATAAATAAACATATGTTTGGAGACTTCTCTTTCCATTTCTTCTAATAATGCATTCACTGAGCATGCATGGGGCACAAGTTAAACAATCCGTCTCAACATCAAGCCATGCTGCAAGGTTGAGTGAGAAAAAAAGGAAGCATACAACAATTTGCTTACATTGAAATAAAAGGAAATTAACCACAGTCTGAGACAATGAGGAGGACATAGGATCCAAGGTTTAGACTTGTTCTCAAGCCAAGGGAAAGCATCACATGCTTCTAGATTTTACACAGCAGAAAGTCCACCAATTAGTTTTGGGCTGCTTCTCAACCTCTGTAAATAGATGTGCCCTCTATCACACTCACTATACATACAGAAAAGTCAGGATAGAGGCATTCGCCAGAAGTATTGCTCATTCAATATCAGTGAAACTATGAACAAAATAAAACAGTATGGTATGCTGAAATATTTCCTGTTCCTCAATTAACAATAGATATAATTGAGGAACAGTTTATGTGATTTAAATGTGTCCTGAAAACCTATCCTTAATGACAGGTTTGGAACTGAACTCCCTCCCCCTCATCCACGTCTGGGACATCCATGATTGTGATATGTTTTGATATGTTCTTTTCGATATCAATGTACCTAATACCTCCACAATGAAAGGTTTGCAGAACTGGGTCCTTTCACACACGAGAGAAGACTGAGGGTGAACTTAATGAGGTGAACAAGATCTTGAATGAAATTGATGTAATGACAGGACAAAGTCTTCACAGACAACATTTAATTTGAAGCAGTGTTCAAACTGAAGAAAAAACACTTCAGATTGGGTATGAGAAGCACTTCTTTGCCCAGAGGACTTCTGGAACATGCCCCCATATGATAATGTTTGTGCGAAAGCATCCACTCATTCAAGAGAAATCTGGACAGATTTCTTAGGGAAGAGAGGAGCTACAGATGGACAGCCTTATCTGCTATGTGACATCAATAGCCATGCAGCAGGGTACAAGTGGATAATAAGCATTGCTCTCATGTTGGTGGTGGCTCCTCACTCTTTTCGGGTTTGCTTGACTGTCTTTGGGAGATAGGGAAGAGTTTTCCAGGTTAATAATTGGCTGTGTTTTTTTAGGGGGTTGGAGGTTTCGGAGTTCTCTAGGCCCGTCACCTCCCTTAGGAAGAGACCAAGTGGTTAGTACTGAGTAATGATGTGAAGTTGAATGTTGTGTTAAACACAGATTGTCCTCGGAGTGGACTTGAAGGGCCTTTTGGCCTTTCTTTTTTTTAAGCTGTTTCTTGCTTATATATCAGTAATAATGTTCTCCCAAGTTTCATGCTGAGTTGTGCTGCTCACAAGGTAGTTTGCTGAATTCCTGCTTTCCCCTTGTAAAGACTCAAATGTATGCTTATTGGATGGCAAGTGATCAACTAGGGACTATTCTCACAGGAGGAGGGTAAGAGGAGAAGCCTTGGGGCAGATAATCAAGGAAGCAAGGAAGTAAAGTACTTCCCAAAGCACTGCTTTTCATTTTACCATTTTACCAACTAATGCACAAAAAGGTCAAGGTACACATGTGAACGTCATGTGAATTTGAGTGTTCAGATCATATGCCCAATGACTATATTTTATTTACTAACCAAAAATTTAATTTTGTCACACCTGGATTCCCAATTTGCCACATGTGGTTAGCGGCTAATATATTGGACAACCCTGCTCTCAGGTGCCCAAAACTTGTCTTTCACCAACTTGCACCTAATATTTCCCGATTTATGTGAGCAGGGTACAATGTACAAGGAGAGTATGCAAGCATTCCAGACACAAAGAAAATTCTATGTGTAGATGGCATACATATGTGGAATACTTCATCTATTTTGAATATTCTTAAGCATGGTGATGGTTTTCTCATGTATCACATACCTGGCTGACCAAATAAAAATGCAATGATGACATACTCATTTCAAATTTGAGCTAATAGGTCCATCACGGCCATAAAAGCTTACTAATAGAGTTATGGCATCAAGTTGCTATTGAAATGATCTACTCAGCTTTATCATTATCCATCAACATTTTACACAATATATTTGCAGTGAATCCAGTATGTAGCTACTTTGAAACTTTGACAATTAAGACAAATTTATCTTTAACTGCTAACTCTATATAATTGACCTTAAATGTGATTAAATATTACTATAATAATAAATGTATTTTTGTTCTGTTTTTTTCTAGGATGATTACAGCCATCAGTTACTATGGCTTAACGCTCAACACTTCTAACCTGCATGGAAACCCTTACATTAACTGTTTCATCTCTGCATTTACTGATATGATAGCATATATCATTTCATGGAGGTTGATGCTTATTGCACCTAGACGAATCTCCACAGCTTCTATGCTGTTCATTGGTGGTACTGTTCTGCTCTTGGTTCAAATTGTTCCACCAAGTAAGAGTTTAAGCAGATGATTCTGCTTCATTTTCAATGGAAATTATAACCAGCAATTCTCTTCCTCAGAATGATCTTTCAGTGATTTTTTAAATTGCTTTTTAATTATAATCCATATATTTGATACAGGGTCCCTTCAATTTTTTTAAAAAATAATAATTTGATCACTCAATCCATGACTGTTTGTGGGACACTGCTGTGCGCAATTGGCTGCCTCATTTCACCCACAAAATATACAGTCAATTCACTTTACAGTATATTCTGTGAAGCATTTTGAAACATCTAGAAGACGTAATAAGGTGCTGTATCAAATGCAAAGATTATCATTATTATTATTATTAATATCCTCCTCGATCACTCTCCTCTACAATTCCCTCTCCATCACTCACAATGCCTGCCCCTTCACCTTCCGAATCACCTCTTACTCACGCAATTCACCCTGGTACATCAGCCACCTCTAGTCCCTCAAGGCACATGTGCATGCCACTAAACTCACCTTGCTCAAATCTAATTTAACAATCCATCGGCAGATCAGGCTGGACTGCAGCAAAATTTACCACTCCACCCTTGCCTCCACTAAATCATCCTTCTACTCCAAGATGATCTTGGAGGCAAAGGACAACCCCAGTCTCCTCTTCTTCACCACGAACATGCTCCTTTGCCCACCATCTCATGCCTCGCCCATCTTCTCCTCCAACTCCAACTGGGAGAGATGCTGGACTTCCTCGAAACCAAAATCGAGGGGATCTGCTCAACCACTTCTGCCCTTCCAAATGCTATCCTATCCCCACCTCCCTCTTACACTCTAGCTCCTACCCATCCCTCCCTCGACATCTTTGAACCTGTCTCCCCCTCCTCTTTCATCAACATTAGAACCCTTACGAAACCCACCACCTGCTCCAACAACCCCATCCCTACTCCTCTCCTTACGGATCATCTCCACCTCCTAGCCTCTATATTCAATTACATAATCAACCTCTCCCTGAATGTTTTTAAACATTCCTGAACATTCAAAGCTGCAATGTTGCAAGTTGTCATTGGGGACAGATGACCTATTCTACAATATCCTGATAGTCTATGCCCCTCTCCCTCCCCCACTCCAAAGCACCTGGCTACCACCTCACAAATATCTTATCACTCCTCATATCCCTCTGTCTCTGTACTGAGGGTTATCTCAAACTTGTCCTTCATCATCAAAGACTTTCCTCTTCAACTGTAGGTAGGGGCACTTCCTCTCTCTCCGACTCAGTGATCTGAGATGTTACCCATTGTTGTTGTTGAATCAGCATGTATTAGATATTGAAATTAATCTATTTAATCTGTATTTACAGGTTTTCATATTCTGTCCATGATCTTGGTGATGATTGGTAAATCTGGCATCTCAGTAAGCTACGCTTTAATCTACATTTTTGCTGCTGAGCTATATCCAACCGTGGTGAGGAACACAGGGCTTGGAGCATCGTGTATGGCATCCAGAGCTGCTACGATTTTTGCCCCATATTTTGTTTATATTGGTAACTGAAACTTTGACACTTCATTTCACTGTTGTAATCATAATAATAATAATAATCATCCTTACATTTAATATAGTACCTTATCACCTCATCAAAACGTCTCAAAGCGCTTTCCAGGATTCTGCTGTAAAATATAGTGGCTATGTATTCATAGATGAACATGCAAGCCAATTTGTTCACAAACTGCCCACTCTTTTCAAATAGTGCCATGGGATGTTTACTATACCCCATCACTGTGTGTCAGCTGCTAAGTTGGTAGCACTCTTGCATCTGAGTCAGAAGGTTGTGTGTTCAAGGCCATGTCAAGGCTTAGAACTCACACAGTCTAACTCTAATGCAGTTCTCGGGTGTGCTTTGCTGTTGGAGGTACGATCCTTTAAATGAAACATTAAACCAAGGTTCCGTCTGCTTGTTCATGAGGACATTAAAGATCCAAAGGTACCATTTTGAAAGAGAAAGGAGTTTCTCTCACTGTCCTGGGCAACAATCCTCCAGATAAAATTGTGATGTTGTCATTCCCTTTACGGCAAATTGGCTGCTGCCTTTGCCTACAAAATGCAAAGTGACTTCTTTTAAGTAAATTTTAAGAAGATTTGAGACATCCTCCTAACATAAAAAGGTGCTTTATGAAAGCTTCTATATCAAATTCAAGGGCTATTTTATTATTTCCTCTAAGTACTATAGTATAGGCTGCTCCTCTGTGGTTGTTCCCAGAAAGTTGCCAAATAAATGAATTTCATTGGGACACTGCTGTACACAAATCGTACCTACAAAATACAGTGTCACTACACTTTACAGTATATCCTGTGAAGTGCTTTGATAGATCCTCCTGCCAAATGTAAAGATTATTATTAGAGTGTCAGTCCAGACCATGAGTTCAAATCCTGACATGGGGCTTGAACCCACAACCTTAAAAATAATAAAATAATAATCTTTGCATTTGATATAGCTGTAAGATCCATAAAGCAGATTATTGTAACTTCCATTTACAACAACAAAATTACATTTGTATAGCACCTTTCACATTGTGAAGACGACCCAAGGCGCTGGACGGTCAGTGTTCGGACTCGAGTTGGGGGGGGGTCAGGATTAGGGATGGTGGAGGGCAGTGGGAGAAGGAGGGTGATCAAAAGCACAGTTGAAGAGGAGGATCTTGAGATGGGTCTTGAAAGAGGCAAGTAGGGGAACAGGTGGAGAAACTGCGGGATGGAGTTCTAGAACTTGGAGCCAGAGTGGGTAAAGGCCTGCGCGCCAATAGTATGGCAGGTGAGGCGGGGGACATGAAGCAGGCCAGAGCTCGCTGAGCAGTGGGAGCGGGCAGGTTGGTAGGGGATTACCAGGTCGCAGATGTAGGGGGAGCAAGGCCATGGAGGGCTTTGAAGGTGAGGACCAGGATCTTGAACTGTATCCTCTGTGTGATGGGAAGCCAGTGGAGTCGGGCGAGGATAGGGGTGATAAGGTCACGGAGCCTAGTATGGGAGAGGACATGGGCTGCAGAATTCTGGATGATCTGCAGCCTATGGAAGAAGCAGTTGGGAAGGCTGACAAGCAGGAATTTGCATAGTCAAGCCTGGGTGTTATGAATGCGTGTATGAGGGTTTTGGCAGTCTGAGTGTAAGATAATGGCGGAGCTGGGCGATGTTGTGGAGGTGGGGGGAGGCAGAGCAGGTCATGGCACGGATGTTGGGTAGAAAGGATAGTTGATGGTCAAACAAGATGCCAAGGTTCCAGACTGGCTAAGTGAGGTGGAGTGTGCATCCTTGAATGCCTGAGGTGTAGAGGCACTGACTGGAGCCAATCAGGAGAGCCTCAGTCTTGTTGATATAGAAAGTTAGCTCTCATCCAGGACTTGATGTCTGATAGACATTCTGTCAGCACAGCAGTGGTCCTGGAGTTGAGGGCGGAGGCAGACAGGAGGGCCTCGGTCTTGTTGACGTTCAACTGAAGAAAGTTAGCTCTCATCCAGGACTTGATGTAATCTTGTCCCTTTCTGCCTTTTAGGAATGCATAATAAATTTCTACCGCTCATATTAATGGGCATCTTGTCAATAATAGCAGGACTTTGCTGCTTAATCCTACCTGATACGCATCACCAAAAGTTTCCGGACACAATTGAGCAGACTCAGCCAGTCAATTGGTAAGTCATTGAAAGTATAGTGTGGGGTTGCATGCTAATGCCATTTCAAACCTGGAAAGATGTCCAATTTTGTACTCAGGTGGAGCTGAAGTATTTTTAATTCATATTTCTATTGATTCTAACACCCAACTTCTGGCTATCAGGGATACTCATAATCTTTTAAAATTATTTAAATATCTAATTTCGGTAGAGACCAAGCCGCACCCTCATTTTGGATTTCACCTGAGGCAGGCACTCCATTAAACTATTACATTACAAGATCGTCAGATTGGTTTGGATAAGGAATGCCCTTTGGCCTATCTGATCTTATCTCTCCAGAGTACCCACCCTCCCATGCTTCTATCAACGAATTAAGCAGTTTTTCAAATTAATCCAGTATCCTGGCTTTAACCATCTTTTCTGGCAATCTGTTCTAGTCATTAATTACTACAACAACAATTCACATTTATATATCGCCCTCCACGACGGGTAGCATCTCAGACCGCTTAACAATGGCGTAGAGAGGGGGGTAAGGCTATTATTATTATAAGACAGAAGCATTGAGGTAGAGTGTTCCAGAGTTTTGGGGTGTAGTGGTTGAAAGCCCAACCTCCAATGGTGGGTTGGAGGCTACGAGGGACTAGCAGGAGGCCGGTGCCAGTCGAGAGTCTACTAATACTGCAAGAAAATTGTGTTGCTGAATCACAGCTTTAAATGATCAGTGATAGCATGCTCCCATTGAACCAACTGCCTGTCCATCAAGCCATCCCACTCTCTCATTGGGGCATCCTGCTGACTATAATATATAATAATAATAATCCTTGCATTTGATATAGCGCTTTTCACGTCAGGAGGACGTCCCAAAGCGCTTCACAGAACACACTGTAAAGTGAATTGACTGTATATTTGTGGGCGAACGCGGCAGCCAATTGCGCACAGCAATGTCCCACAAACAGTCGTAGATTGAAAATGACCAATTTATTATTGTTTTTGGATTTGGAGGGATTATTATTAGGCGTGTGGAGTAAGGAAACTTGCCCAAGGTTTCGCCCTGTCTGGAATTGAACTCAGGTCTCTCGCTTGCAAAGCGAGTGCTCTAACCACTGAGCTACAGGACTCCACTAGTAGTCAGATGGTTCAATGGGAGCGCTGGCAGATTGATGGAAAGCAATAAAATGGCAATAGAATAGATATTTTCAGTATGGGGCTGTAACATTTATGTGATTCTAACATAATCCAATGGATTATCATGAAGAAATCAATTAATCTATTTTAAGAGGAAGCTATATATACACATGGGGAAGAAGGGAATTGAAGGATATGGGTGGAAGTAAGGAGGGGTGGAGACTCATGTGGAATATAAACACCAGTATGACATAGTTCAGCCAAATTGCCAGTTTCAGTGCTTTAAATGTGATGTAAATCTACGTAAACTCTTATGATAATGTAATTTTGTTTCTTTAAGCTTCTGGCCATTTATCTTAATGTGTCGTCAGAAGTCCCCTACCACATCTGAATCCAAGGAAAGGCAAAGTGAAAATGGCAATATTGTTTTGCAGTCTTCCGCAGCTGTCCCATGTGTTGAGGACATCCCCAGCTAGTCCACATATCCAAGTAAGTTCTCATTCCTTTTATTCCTGGAGTTCAGTGGTTAGAGCATTCAGCTCGCAAGTGAGAAATCTGGGTTTGATTCCTGGTAGCGCGATATGTTGGGCAAGTTTCCACACGCCTCTGATTACCCAGCAGTAAGTAGTAACCTGGTTGTTAGTTGATTGGCAGATTGCTTTTCCGGGAGTAATATTTCCTTCAAAAACATATAATAAATTGGTCACATCAATCCACAACTGTTTGCAATTTATCTCCTGCGTTTTGCTCACAAAATATACAGTCAATTCACTTTACAGTATATTCTGTGAAGCGCTTTGGGAGATCTCAAAGACGTAATAAAGCGCTATATTAAATGCATTATTAGATTCCCTTCCCTTTCTTCAGCTCATAGAGATGGGAAACGTCATTGCTGGGAAATTGAATGAAATATCATCAGGACAATGCAGAAACTAAAGCATTCGTTCGGATAGATATGGGTAAGCTGGCGATATCTAGAACACCGCTATTTGTTGTATTAGACAATAAAATGGTGATGTTTCATTTAAATTCTATTAGCTTTTACAGCCTGCTAATAGATTATCATCATAACAAGAAGTCCCGTAGCGTAGTGGTAGGCTCACTTGTTGGCAAGCGAAAGGACCCGGATTTGATTCCCGGGTGGACAAAACCCAAGGAATGGTCTGTGTGTCATCCTGGCACAGTGGTAGCACTCTTCCCTCTGAGTCAGAAGGTCAGGACGTGGAATAACATAGTCTAAGATGTCAAATCACATTCAGTTGGATTTATTGTATTTTGTTGTTTTGTTTTGTGCGGATCCCTGAGTGTCCAGAGCTTTGGGAAGTCCTCCTGATGGACATCCCCTTTATTTAAGAAGGGAGAGAGAAACCAGGAAACTACAGACCTGTCAGCTTAACGTCAGTTGTAGGGAAAATGCTGGAATCCATCATCAGGGACAGAGTAACTGAACACTTGGACAGGTATGAGCTAGTCAAAGAGAGTCAGCATGGGTTTGTGAAGGGTAGGTCATGTCTGACTAATCTAGTTGAACTTTTTGAGGAGGTCATTAAAATGGTGGCTAAGAGAGTGTCTGTTGATGTCGTTTATATGGACTTTCAGAAGGCATTTGATAAGGTTCCACACAAAAGATTATTAGCAAAAATGGAAGCACATAGAGTCGGAGGTAACCTTGTGACGTGGCTTGGAAATTGTTTGGGAGGCAGGAAACAGAAAGTAGGGATAAAAGAAATGTTCTCTGATTGGCGGGACATGACAAGTGGTGTTCCCCAGGGGTCTGTACTGGGACCCCAACTGTTCGCCATATATATAAATGACTTGGATGAAGGAATCGAAAATTTTATATTCAAGTTTGCAGACGACATTAAGCCAGGAGGCTCAATAAGTTGTGTAGATGGGAGTAGGAGGTTACAAAGTGGCTAAGACAGTTTAAGTGAGTGGGCAAAGCTGTGGTAGATGGAGTTCAATGTAGAGAAGTGTGAGGTCATCCACTATGGACCAGAAAAAGATAAAGCAGAATATTTTCTTAATGGGAAAAATTAAGAACTGTGGAGGAGCAAAGAGGTTTGGGTGTCCATATCCACAAATCACTAAAAATTAGTTCCCAGGTGCAAAAAGTAATCAAATGAAATGTTGTCCGTTATCTCAAGGGGCCTCGAATACAAAGGGGAAGAAATGATGCTTCAGCTGTATAGAGCATTAGTCAGACCCTATCTGTAGTACTGCGTTCAGTTTTGAGCACCACACCTCAGAAAAGATATATTGGCCCTGGAGTGGGTGCAGCGCAGATTCACCAGAATGTTACCAGGCCTAAAAGGATTAAGTTACGAGGAAAGGCTGCATAAATTTTGATTGTATTCCCTTGAGTTTAGAAGGTTAAGGGGTAATTTGATTGAGGTATTTAAAATGATAAGGGGATTTGATAGGGTAGATACAGAGAAGCTATTTCCTCTGGTGGACGAATCCAAAACAAGGGGACACAGTCTTAAAATTAGAACCAGCCATTTAAGAGTGAAATCAGGAAGCATTTTTTCACTCAAAGAGTGGTAGAAATCTGGAATTCTCTCCCCCAAAAGGCCGTGGATGCTGGATCCATCCACACTTTCAAGAGTGAAGTTGATAGATTTTTGGTAGGTCAGGATATCAAGGGATATGGGTTGAAAGCGGAAAATTGGAATTGAAAGGATTAGTTGAAGTACAGATCAGCCATTATCTAATTAAATGGAGGAACAGGTTCGAAGGGCTGAACGGCCTCCTCCTGTTCCTTTGTTGCAATGTGAAAGGCGCTATACAAATGTAATTTGTTGTTGTTTTTATCTTTTGTTTGTTACAGTTGGAAACGGAGATGAGAACTATCATCACCATCCCAGACAACTATGAGAAACTAAAAAGTAACAATTCTGAACTTCAAGTAGATGAACAACCTACAAATTCCTACAACTCAGTGTTGACAAGACGGAAGCCATACTCATTGGCTCCCGTCAACATCTTCTATCCTGCAGCTCTGATCTCCTCAGCCTATCCTTCAAGTAGATGTTCTGCAAAGTGTTAAGAAATGCGAACAAAGCAAGTGGCTTAACCATAAAATTCAAGTAAAAAGTTTTAAAATCTTAACTACATGTACAATAATATTCAACTGAAAACCAATCAACAACAACAGATTATGCTTGTATAGCATCTTTCACGTCGGAAAGATGTCCCATCTTTCAAATCACTACTTCAGACTATCTAGAATGTATTTAACAAAACGTGCAATGATATCCATAAAATATTAGAGATATATAAGGAATTTTGTTTCATAAATTGCACACAAATGGCAAAAAATGGTAAACTTCCATATGTATGCGGATGACACACAAATCTACTTCTCCTCCAGCTGCGACTCCAGGTCCGCCAATGTTGTCTCTGCTTGTCTGGTGGACATCAGGGCCTGAACGAGCAAAAACTTCCTACAACTCAATGTTGACAAGACCCAAGCCATACTCATTGACTCCCGTCAACATCTTCTATTCTGCAACTCTGACCTCCTTAGTCTCCCCGGCATATCCTTCAGACATACCGAACCACTGCACAACCTTGGCATCAGGTTCGACACACAGCTGTGCTTCCTTTCTCACATCCAGTCCCTGACCAGGATCGCCATCTTCCACCTCCACCACATTGCCTGTCTCCGACCGTACCATACCCTGGATGCAGCCGGAACACTTGTCCGTGCATTCATCACCCCCTGACTCAATTTCCCAAATGCCCTCTTTGCTGGTCTCCCCTGCTCCACCATGCACAGGATCCAACTGATCCAAGACTCCGTTGCCTGCATACTGACCCATACTCACCGATACCCGCATCACACCAGTCCCAGCCAAGCTCCATTGCCTCCCTATTGCCAAATGGATTGATTTCAAGATTCTCATACTCGTTTCAAAATCCTTTCATGCCCTGACACCTCCCTACCTCTCCAACCAGCTTACCGCCCAACCCACAACCCGCTGCCTCTGCTCAACTGGCTCCAGCCTTCTGCATGTAACTTCCGTGCCCTCCATTCCACCATTCGTGGCCACACTTCCAGCCACTACGCCCTGAAACTCTGGAACATTCTTCCTCTATTCCTCTGCCTTGCCCCTTCCTTCCCCATCTTCAGATCATGCTTGAAGACCTTATTATTCGACCATGCCTACTTCACCTCCCCTCTCCCCAGCTCGGAGTCATGCTCCACCACTGTCAATGCTCTGGGATGCAACCCTGCGTGAGCGGTGCCTCATAAATGCATGTCGTTGATGAAAATCAAATAATCAAATATGTACAAAAGAATAAATATTTGCTGTCGGAAACTATAATTCAAAAGTTGAAACATTGTGAAAAAGATATTTAGATTGTTTGTGACTGACACAAAACTTCCACTTTAACTGTGAGAGCAGAATTATAGGCAAAGCTTTAAAAAGAATTAAAAACACTTCAAACAAGAGTAGAAATTAGCATTTTTATAAAGAATAAAGGGTTAGTGGATACTTGATCAATGAATTCCCTCAAAATAGAATAGAATTGTGATCCTAATAGCATTGCAGAATAATAATAATAATAATAATAATCCTTGCATTTGATATAGCGCTTTTCACGTCGGGAGGACGTCCCAAAGCGCTTCACAGAACACACTGTTAAGTCAATTGACTGTATATTTGTGGGCGAACGCGGCAGTCAATTGCACACAGCAATGTCCTAAAAACAGTCATAGATTGAAAATGACCAATTTATTATTGTTTTTGGTTTTGGAGGGATTATTATTAGGCTCTGTGTGGAGTAAGGAAACTTGCCCAAGGTTTCGCCCTCTGCCTGGAATTGAACTCAGGTCTCTCACTTGCAAAGCGAGTGCTCTAACTACTGAGCTACAGGACTCCACAATATCTGAATTCATGCAGAAAAATGTGAACAATTATTTCAAGGTATTTTATTTTATAAGGCATGTTGGTCTGCTGCAGCTGGACTTGGAAGTTCAATGGAATGTTGCCCATGGATGTAATGCAATGAATGAATATTGTGGTGATGGTATGAATGAATATTGTGAAGGTTTTTTTTACTTAATTAATTTGGGTTTTCAAGGAATATAACTATAAAGTGTTTCTGGGAGATAGAGTTGGTTGGATGAGAGTTATAATTGGGTAGGTTTGGTTGCATGTAAAAGGAGTTAGCTTGTGGCAAATGTCTTTTTTTCCATTCAATACTTAATATTTTAAGTGTCAGTTTGTTTCAAATGGTTGCAATCTCACCTCTGATTCAGAATTCAAATTCAAACCGAATGTTGTGATGAAGGGTTATGGACTAAGGACTAATGTTAATTAAGATCCTCATCCTCACCTCGAATTCAAGATCGTCATCCTCACCTACAAGGCCATTCACGGCCTTGCTCCCTCCTACCTCTCCGACCGACTATCCCCCTACCTACCTGCCCGTACCCTCCGTTCCTCTGGCTCCGGTCTGCTCCACATCCCCCGCCCCAACCGCCCTACCATCGGTGGCCGGGCCTTCAGCCTCTCAGCCCCGAGGCTCTGGAAGTCCATCCCCCAGTGCCTTCGCCGCCTCCTCCCTTTCCTCCTTCAAGGCCGGTCTCAAGACCTTTCTCTTTGACCGTGCCTTCAGCTCCCCTCTCGACTCTCTACCCTCTCCTCGCTCCCTCCCTTCCCTCCCCTCACCCTGACCATTTCCCCCCTGCTCGGGTCCTGATCCAACTGTACAGCGCCTTGGGACGTCCTCCCGATGTGAAAGGCGCTCTATAAATGGAATCTTGTTGTTGTTGTTGTAGTCTATGCTGACACGAGTGCAGTACTGCATTGTTGGAGGTGACACCCTAAAGATGAGATGTTGAACCGATGTCCCATCTGCCTGTTCAGATGGACGTTAAAGATCCCATGACTTGTCTCGAAAAGAGAAAGGAGTTTCTCCCTATCTCCTAGCCAACAATCTCCCTAATAAAATTGATTATTTACTTCATGCTGTTTGTAGGGCATTGCTGTGTGCATATTGACTGCATCATTCACCTATAAATATGCAGACACTACACGTCACAACAAATTCTTGTGAAGTGCTTTGAGACGCTTTGAGGATGTGATAAGCAGTTATATCAAATACAGATATACGTATGTTCTCAACAACAAGAAATCCTACAATATTATCCTTTGGTGAATATTAATTTTCATTACATTTAGTTTTTTTGCATTCATAATTCATGTTACATTACATTCTATTTCAATCTGAATTAAATTCAAGTTAAGAATTAAAGTTTGCATAGAATTTTGACAAATTCTTAAATTCAAGCTTAATTTTTTAAGATGGTTTTATTGTAGAAAACTGACTTCCAAATTAAGACTGATTTATTTTGTATTGCAAAATTTTACACAATAGATTGGTCCCTAGGGCTAAATCTTTGAGAAAGGCAAACTGAGCCTCAATTGTTTGAATTAAGGCACATTGGAGAATAATTTATTATTAATAATAATAAACCTTGCATTTGATATAGCGCCTTATTACATCACCAAGGCGTCTCAAGATGCTTCAAAGGATATGCTGTAAAGTGGACTGACTGTGTATTTTGTTGCAAAACATATAAAATAGTTTATTATTTTCATTATTATAACTTGAACAATGATTTTTTTAATAATTCAACTTAAGAATGAAGAATAAAATAATTTGATCTTCCTTTTGAATTCAGATAATATGAACACAATATCAACAACAAAATTACATGTGTAAATTGCCTTTCACATTGGGAGGACAACACAAAGCGTTGAACAGTTGGAGATCAGGACCCAAGCGTGGGGGCACAAGGTTGGGGTGAGGGTGGGCAGAGAGGTTAGGAGTGCAGCTGAAGGCATGGTTGAAAAGGATGATCTTGAAGGAGGCAAGGGAGGGAGCAAGGCAAAGGGATTGTGGGATGGAGTTCCAAAAAGTGGGGGAAGAAAGGCTGAAAGCCCATCCGCCGATGGTAGGGCGGGTCAGGTGGGAGACATGGAGCAGGTCGGAGCCTGAAGAATGGAGGGAGTGGACAGGTTGATAGGGGTTCAGCAGGTCAGAGAAGTAGGAGGGGCAAGGCTGTGGAAGGCCTTGAAAGTGAGGACGAGGATTTTGAACTCTATCCTCTGAGGGAAGTGGAGCCGGGGGAAGGTGGGGATGATAGGATCACGGAGCCTGGTGCAGGAGAGGACACAAACTGCAGAGTTCTGGATGATCTGCAGCTTTTGGAGGGAAGAGTTGGAGAGGCCGACAAGGAGGGAGTTTCCGTAGTGGAGCCTTGAGGTGATGAATGCATGTTTTGGCGGCCTGAGGGTTGAGGCAGTGACAGAGTCGAGATGGGGGAAGGCAGAGAGGATCATGGCATGGATATGGGGGAGAAAGGACAGTTGAGCATCAAACAAGATGTCCAGGTTCCTAACTGGTTGGTGAGGTGCAGTGCGCATCTGTGGATGCTGATGCTGCCAGTGCCTGAGGCGCTAGAGCGAGCCAATCAGGAGGGCCTCGATCTTGCTGAGGTATGATCCTGAAGTAGAGTTACTGGAATGTTATTCTGCGTCTGACTATGTTTGTCACAGAGTATTTTACCATAAAGTGCAATTGAAAAAAGATAATAAATATTAGAGAAGGTTAACGTTAATAATTATTTTATAAATTGCTAGTCGTCCAAGAGAAATGACATGCTACAGTGGGTTCAACACAAAATTCGAGTTTGAACTTAAACCTGACTGGTTAAATGAAAAAAACAAAAGGCAAAATTAAATGAAAATTTATTTTCTTCAGAAATTGTGTGGATCACAAGTGAACTGAGTTTGGTCAATGTGAATCCAATAACTGGCTATTTTGAATCCATTAAATGATTGACAGAAAGGCAATGACGGCTGCCCTGTTGAGGTTA